TTCTCAGCTCTCCGTAGCAGAAAGTGCAATGAGTCAAGCAAGGAGAAAGTTTCTTTTAGATGACGTCTACTTTCGATTAAAAGGGTGATTGAAAGCAATGTTCGATGATCTGCTTAATTGTTTCTGTTTTCAATGGAAATTATACTTTATTTCACATTCTCGAACGCGGATAAGTTGGATGACAAAATCTGGTGACAATAAACGCGAGTGCCATGAAAGTAGAAAAAAAGGTACTGATTATATCAGGCTTTTTCTTCTGCGTTTCTGCTCAACTTCGTTATGGCATTTTTACATACTGTAGTTTTCAAATACTATAAGTCGATCCATGCATAAGCCGAAAGATAAGATTTTGGTTCAATATTTAGCCAAAATTGAAAATCCGTGCCGACTTTAAAATCTTTCTACAATTCCAGCTATGTATATCATCCATAAAGCAAATGTTTTGATTGGTTAACTTAGTTAGACCCATCAAACGAGCTGAAGATGTTAATTCTTCTTCAGCTGCAATTTGAAAAATAGGGCTGACAGTAGAAAGGGAACTTATTTCTTCCAACTTTTGAGTATACACATCATTTTGGAGATCTGGCAGTAGCATGCGAACTTTCCATCTTAGTTGTGGTAATCATTTCCTCCTCCTCCTCGAATTACACTTTCAATTTTATTACGTGTAAAATGCGATATTCTTCATTTCTGCTATATAGTGAAACATAACTAGACGCGCTCGCGCAAGCACGCACACACACAAAGAGATTGCGTGTTCTGGTAATTTTAAACTGAAAGATATCATTTTTCTTGAGCAATGTTATGGACAGAGCTTAAGATTTTATTATCTACGAAGCGGATGAGAACGGATTAATAGTGGAATACAGAGAATGAATGGCATTCACCCGGGGACTTTCTTTTAGCAAACAACAGAGAATTTCTAGTTTCTAATTCTGAATTGGATATTGGTCTTAGAAACTTTGATTAATTTAAGTTAAGATTAAATAAAGTAATATTTTTTTTCAATTATTCAACTTATAATGTCATTTTTGTGATGAAATTGTGTGTAAATAATTTTGAACTCGTATATAAGCAGAACTCCAAATTTCAGTAGCAAAAACATACTAATTTCTCCGAAATGTCGCTATACATATAGTACCTCTTTTGACTCTCGGTGAGTTGACCGTAACACGTTGATACTCAGATCATTCAGAATGATATAGTGATAAGCCGACTTTAAAATCTTTCTACAATTCTAGGACTTTTGTGGAATTTGAACTTCCGTGGTAAGATTATTACAATTGTTTTTGTCAGAGAAACTAATATGTAGATTTGTGAAACCGTACAACTGGAAACTGGGTGAATCTTTACATTATGGTAACTTGGCGATTTTTTAGCGACCAACCCTGCTACAGCAATCTGTTAGTTTTGTTTTGGACGCCATTTTGTTTTCACGAAGTAAAGGCAATTTTTTTTTTTTTTTTTTTTTTTTTTTTTTTAACTCAGCATTTTTTCCAACAATCTGCTAGCCGAATTACGCTTATACTAGAACTTTTATGGAACAAAATTGCTTAATCATGACGAAGATTAGGTGCGAAATTGGGAGAAAGTGCAGAATCGCAAACTGCTTACCGCGTTTTTAAGAATTGCACATACACGGTATCCATGTACACGTCGACCTATTTTCACTTAAAAAAAATAATCCTAGAGTTGCACAAAAATGGCATTGCGCACACTCTTGACTTAATCTATGTACACATCGACCTATTTTCACTTAAAAAGTTAAAGAAAATTGTCAAAATCCAATTCTTCTTACTCTTGTAAAAAGCGCCAAACAAATAAGTGGGCGATTCTGCACTTTAGCAGCGAAATTGTTTCTAAGTGCTTATTAGCTAAAATCACGATCGGAATTTTCCGGAAAATGTCACATTACATGTCTCATGATCTCTCATTTCTCTGAGCCAAAATAATCTGTGATTCGAACTGTGTACTTCTCAGATTATTGCTAAAGTCCTAGCTAGTAACCTTTATCGCCTTACCAAAATGTCGCCAAATTACCTGTTACCATATTCTAAAGATTAGCCGGAAACTGATTTTGATCCAGTTGTTGTTTCCCATGAGTTTTCATTAATTCGTAAATGTCATATTGCATTTTATACCTTAAAAATTTAATACTACAATTATTCTATTGAAGAAAGTGTTCAAAATGCACTTTTATTTCTCATATGCTAAATATTACATTTGGTATCGATATTATTCTAACTACAAAGCTGTCTACAAAGTTAATTAAAAAATAAATATAGTTACTTGAAAATAGCCTGTTTGTTAGCCAAGGACGTACTGATAAGTGTTGGCTCAAAAAGGACATTGTGCCACTACGTTACACTAAAAGGAAGCTTAATACACTCATGTCTATAAATTAAGGATAATTCGGAGTCACGCGGAAATCGAACTGTAAAATAAATATATCGTCTGTAAAATCAGTACACACATCTTCAAGAATCATATGCAAATTTCAGGAAGTAACCAGATGACACCGATGGTACGTCACAATGACGAGAGTGTAAGAGAGTGATATATAAGGAATACAGGAAAAGAAGTAAAATTGTTCGCAGGCGCTTTATAAGCATTTCAGTGCAATAACCGAATAGTTATGACACAAAGAACGCATTTGGATAATTTTTTTTACGTGGTAGAATTATCGGCCGTCTGGAATGTGAGCGTACTCAACTGGAAGTATCAGACGAACTTGGAATTGCCCAGTGCCATCTCCAGGCTTTGGCAACGATTCCAAGATGATGGTAATGTGAGTAGACGTTACAGCACAGGTCGCCCCAGAGTTACAACGCCGAATGAGGACCGGTATTTGGCAGTTACTGCCAAAAGAAACAAGCGGAGCACAGCCTCAGACCGGTCTCATCAGCTCTCTTCAGCCACTGATACCACAATTTAAAGGCAGACCGTGTACAGACGCTTAGGGCAGATTGGTCTATATGCTTCTAGACCTGTCAGTTGCGTTCCACTTACTGCAATTTACTGTCGCATGCGGTTAGCCTGGAGTAGAGAGCATGCATTGTGGACACCGCAACAGTGGCCTTGTGTGATGTTTTCCGACGAGTCCAGGTTTAGCTTGCAGTCTGTTTCTCGCCGAACTTTCATATGGAGAGCTCCAGGTATCTGTTACCACCAAGAAAACGTCATTGAACGACACCGTTACGGTGGTGCAGGAGTGCTCGTTTGGGGTGGAATTATTCTGGGTTCCAGAACTAACATGCATGTTCAAATTGGAACCATGATGAGCCAAATCTATCGGGACGTCATTCTGGAACAACATGTATGTTTGTTTCAGGGCGCCATGGGCACACAATTTGTGTTTATGGATGACAACGCCCCGTCCTCACCGTGCAAACATCGTAAGCGAATGGCTTCAATCGGAGGATATCACCCGTATGGACTGGCCAGCATTCTCACCGCACTTGAATCCAGTAGAGCACGTGTGGGATATGCTTGGCCGACGAGTTGCAGCCCGTCAAGCTCCTCCTACATGTCTACCGGAACTTCGGAGAGCATTGCTTTTTGAGTGGTGTAATATCCCCCAAGATAAGATCGATAATTTGATACTCAGCATGCCTAGGCGTTGTACGGACTGTATTGCATCGTCTGGGAGGCATACAATGTATTAACAACCATACCAACCATGTAATATTGTTTTTTTTTTTTTTTGTAAATAGGGTTTTTTTTTTTTTTTTTTTTTTTTTGTAAATAGTTTTTTTTTTTTTTTTTTGTAACTTGTTCCATGGAGAAAAAATCGCAATTTTTTTTAATAATATCAAACGTATAGCATCTTTTTTGCTCTTTACCTTTTGTTTAATAAATAAGCTTTACAAATAAGTCAAATTTGTTTTGCTTCTAACTCTTCCTTTGACTGATTTTGCATTATCCTTAATTTATGGACATGAGTGTAGGTCCTCGACAGAGTTACCGCTGATCCAAATTTTCCCGAGCAATTATTGAATCAGAATTTAATTTCATTTCATTATGGCGAAGCACACGGAGGGTTCTTTGTTTAAGGGGAAGCATGCCTTTGTTGATGGTTATTTAAGTGAATTTGGCTCATATTTACATAAACTGATCTGTGCAGCTATAATTTAATTCCATGCGATTTTAATTTTGTCTCGCACAATTATAAAAATATTAACAGGAATACCAGTATAGAGTATTTTAACGTATGATTTCTGCATTTAATATCAGGATGAATACGTTTATTAGCTCATTCCTAAAATTATTTTGTAAAGTTTCAAAATTTTACTAAGCTCAGATACAATTACGATTTTTATGAAATTGGTTAGAAATTTACTTATATTTTGTAATGTAATATAATTTTTGGAAATTAGCCTTGATTTTTAAACCAAGTGTTAACTATTTTCTTATCAGTATAGCAAAAATTCTGTGCGTATCACAACCAGTTATAAAAATATAAAAAAGGTGTTTTGAAGGTCTAAAATTTAGGTGAGATGGGCGCTTAGAAGCCTTTGATAAGTATATTAAGAATCAGGCAATATTGCACTAAGCCTTCCCCTCCCCCAAAGAAAGTAACTGTATTTTATTTGCAATTTGTATCAAGTTAAATTTTGGGATACGCAACTTCGCACTTAATTCAACTAACTGTTGTTCAATATTCAAAATTCAGTGATACAGAATGTGCTATAAGTAAAACTTTACACACAGAGCTTTCATTTAAGGCATTGTTTTATACTCCAAAATTATATTACAACTATGCAGATAAAAAATGAAATATAATTCTTTACAGTAGTTAGTTCTAGAAGTTTGTGAAACGCATTGCAAGGCAAAAATATTGCAACAGTGTATTACTATCTAATCCCCCTCTTTTTAAACGTATCATAACCTGTGATTCAAATTTCATAAATCATAACGTGTGATTTCTTTACTACTTGACACGATTTCGTTCGTATACAATAAATAGATTGTTCTTTTTTTTTTTTTTTTTTTTTTTTTAGCTGCTTGTCAACCTCTCGACTGTAGGCTGATGCCTACTCGCGTTCCCCTACAAGGCAGAGATACTTCGTACTGTGACCCAGTAGCAAGGCCACCCTCTTACACTCCACCTATGGGTCAAAGACATCCAGTAGGCATACCTGATGATGACGATGCATATGATGCGCCATGGGACATGGCCAATCCGGGAGTACCGGGAAATGTAAGAAGCTCTGTAAAATGTACTGTAGTTCAAAATTGTTAATGATACAATAGTTTTCTAATTCTGAATTCAGAATCTGTAGCACGAAAATGTTTCAGTACAAGTTCGTAGCTGTGGCTAAATAATTCAAATTTAGAAATTAATGAGAAACAGTGAATAATTGGAGAGGATACTATGAATCGGCGTTTTATACAAAGCTCGGCGAAATTGAAAACTGCAGGAACATTGCTGGGATTAAGAAAAGTATTGTGGAACTAATAGCAACTAACGTATTACTCGCTCAATTTTCTAACGTTATTTTACTTTCATATATGCTAGAAATAGTGCTATCTGCTAAGCACAGATACATGGAACTAGAATACATATCAAAACTTTTCATGTGTTTAATTTAACGTTTATGATTTATAGTGGTGCTATAAAACGCCAATTTGTTCACACAGACCCGTACCCGAGGGAAAGATTTTTGAAGGGGCTGTTTAATATCTCTATAATGAATTATTGGAGGGTGATCAAAAAGCTTCCATTCGAGGTTTTATCCTTGATTTAGGATAAAGGTACAAAATCTTGTAACAGTCTGTTATTATCTAACATTCGATACAACCTTCTGTAACCCATCGTCCTATGGTTCGACGTCATTATACTCCAGACTTATCAGAAGGTTTTCAAAAGGCCACAACTTCACTGAAAACCAATTTAACTCAACTTTATTTAACATTTTAAAGGTAAATTTTTAAAATGAACACAGCCACGAGCCGACGTCGAAAACATTGACTACGAATAGTCAAGAAGAGAATCTCTCGGCGAAAAAGTTCAAGTTTTTGGTCCTCGCGCTATGACAAACGCGCACGCACGTGGCGCAGCAAAAATGGACGTTGCCACCCGCTGCAATGAGCATATTCTGCCATAGTCAGATTCAAATCATAATTTTTTTCAGAGACCTTATAAGATGACAGAATGGAGAGGGGAACACAATGAGAAATCTAGACTGAAGGTGAGAGGTTTGCCGTTTAAGAAATTTAACTTCTGCTTTATGATTCTTGCACTACAAGAAAGTACAAAATAGCATGACACCTCTTACAAAGTTCCCTTAATTGCACTCAGATTTGTCAAAACGTGCGACTTGGTGGATACGTCACAACGTCAGTTTATGTCGACTCAGGCGAACGCAGTTCGCAAACATCAGGCACCCGCGCGGCAGCGCTATCCCGGGCTAACCATGTTGACGATTTTCGATCTGTAATGTGTCCCAGCATAGAAGAGGGAGAACATTAGGTTGAAAAACTCGTTTGGAAAAGCAAGTATAGAGTTTCCGAATAGACAACACGTCGATCAGGAACAGTGTAGGAAGTGGAACACCAGTGGTGACGCACAAATTTAAGCTGGAAAATGCAAGTAAGATGAGGAGTACTTTAACTTGGGAGGAAGCAAAAATTAAGGAGTGCAAAAATACCCAACAGTCTTAACCAAAGCAAGAGATGGTACCATAAGTTAAACAGTTAAATATAAACATTTAAATACAGAAAATTACATATTTTTTAAACATTCTATTACATATTTTTATAAATGTATTAAAGAATTAATTTTTGAGAGACCTACTAACCATTAGCACAAAAAAAGCTGCATAGGAAGTTAAGTTAATTTAAAGCGTTTATTTCCTCCATAACAGAGAAGAGGATGTTAGATTTAGTACCTAAGTCATTTGCAGCTTGCATAACAGGCAATTTACTTTTAAAAATTTGCGTGACCTCGTGTAGGTTAGTTCCAAATGCTTTTTGAAATTCAGATAGAATTTTCATTAGTTTCAATAATTCCATCAGATTACTTCCGTTTGACAAACTACTGGAGTTCATGCCGTTTCTACTGTTGGTGAGATTTGTAGAAAAATTTACGTCCATAGCAGCAGGTTCCGAAGAGAAATTGGCATTTTGTTCTTCACTACCTGATTTTAAAGTCTGAGCATAACTTACACCATTGCGGCGATCAGAAGAAGGCTTTTTAGGTCTCTTAAGGCTAGGAAATTTTTCACAACCCCTATACGAGGCTGGCTGACCTTCTTTTCTGCAGTTAAAGCACTTAGGGACGTCTAAGCGTCATTTATCGCAGTCCTGAGTCTTATGATGTCCAGCTCATTTCACGCATCGTGGGGAAACATGACAATTCTCCGAGAGTGGTGCCATTTCTGGCAGTTAAAGCACTGCAGAACTTGGAATTTCGAAACATATTTTTCCATCGTAATTGAAAATAGGCACAGGTCAGTCAGTTTATGGACTCGATCGATTACTTCATTTTTAAATAACTATACTTGAAATAAGGGCATGAGGGCTCGCGTCCTATTTTTTGTCAGCTGCACTACTTTGTGAACCTTGAATACTTGCTTAACTAACTCATCTTTGATTTCGGAGACCTCCATATCAGAAGGTAGACCTCTCAGTAGCAGCTTAACAGGCTTTTCATGCCTAAGATTGACTACAAAATGACCGATGTCCTTTTTCGAGAAAGTATTTACTCAGAGTCCTATGATCATTATCAGTGCGGGATAGAACCTTTAGAAATTCACCACTCAAACAGAATAAAACCTTGACATCAGGTAATTTAGTGGCTAAGTACTTAGCAAAATCATTAAACTTAACGTTTGCCTCAGGCCTAACCATTATGGAGAGAATTACACGTTGAACAACAGTAGGAGCTTGCTGTTGAGAACTACTAGCATTTATATTTATGTTACAAATATTATTAGATGAAATATTTACAGATATATTTGAATTTGAATTAGCTGCATCATTATTTTCAGGCTGAGAATTTCTATCCCAGTCTGGAGTTACACTGTTATCAACAATATTTGCATGACTTAATACTTCAGATTTATTAGATGTAGTTGCACAAAATTTAGTCTTAGCTTTAGGAGCTCTAGCAGTTTTATTAGGTTTCTTAAACATATTATCATTTTCAGAAAGATCAGAGTCACTTACATTACTTTTTCTCTTAGATGTGTTGCCCGGTCCAGGACCACGTGCAACAAAATTAGGCTTAACACTTACGGTACCACCATTATAGTTATCAGAGGTTAATATGGAATGACCTGCTAGGTATAAATTGCACTTACCTTCTAATTCGGAGATTTATCTGTTGAACAGCCTTATTCCATCAAGAAATCCCATCGTGAAATTGTCCAGTTCAGTACAGTCCTTTTTAGCCCACCTTTCAGGCAGAGCACTTTTCATAATATCGCATTGATGTTTTAGTTTAGCAGTTTTAGCTTTTGCAACATCATAGTAAAAATTCTCTAAATCACAAGCAGAAAACCAGTCTGCAATTACACATTCATAATTTGAACTAGATCCACTGGTATTAGCAGTCGGAGAACCCGTAATAAAGTTCATATCCAAATTCACCTGAGCAGAGGTAGCGAGATCGACAGAGGTAACGCGGGGAAGTCATCCCCGTCCGCCGCGTCTGAATCAAAATCCATCGCACAGGCAAGGAGCTCAGAAAGTACGCACCTTCATACTAGAGTCAGTTTGTGTCCTTTTACAGCCATCTCCTAATAGTGATGGCTGCAAACCGGTCCAAGCTGGATGCATCTAAACTCATGTTTCGATTACCGCTTTTACAGCTCCTGACATTGTACACAGTGCACGTCATAAAAATGGGATGGAAGAATTATCGAACAGAAACTTTCTGATCACCCCGTATACATAATGTGTGTATGATATAGATTAAATCTACGAATGTAAACTGTCAACTTTCGAGTATGAAATTCAGAATAAGAAACTAAGGAATGATATTGCTATAAAACTAATGCAAAAACTCAAGCTATGCCCCAAAAAAGAGATATTTTTCTCTAGTATCGCTGCTTAAGTGCAACACATTAATGAACACCACTTTCGTATTTCTCTCTAAATATACAATTTTTCCTTCCTTGTACGATTTAAAGCAAATGATAAATGCCTAGAACAGTGTTTCTCAAAAAAGACCTTCTTATAGCGATATGTATAACCACTCTTAAGTCGTTTTCATAGATAAGAAATCGAATAATTTCCTTACCTTTATTAAAATATTAAAAGAACTGAAGTTTATCAGCTAATGAATTGGTATTTAAATATAAATTTTAACAATTAAAATTCTAAAATATTAAAACAAAATTCATTTTAATAATTTAAACGATAAATGTAAACCAAATATAATTAAAGATGCATTATACACTGTGTCCGTAAAACTCCTCATGCGGCATTTATTTTCGTATCTGTTGGCGGCAGACATATACTACTCAATACAAAAATTTTTTAAATGACGCGAATATTTATGTTTTAGCCTTTTTAAATTTCAAAAGTCAATTTTGTAAAAATCTTGAATTTTAACTTTTCGTATACTTTTATGGTCTCTGTAGCTATATTTAGTAAAAGTTTATACTTATTCTAAAAATAAACCACAAAAAATTTGACTCCGAACTGACCAAAATAAGACAAAGATTTTAGAAATCTTTCTCGGCTTTCTTTGCAGGGTCTGTTAAAAATATATATTAGAATAACTCCAGATTGTTTTTTTTTCCTTTTGTCTTCTTTAATTCAATTAATTTAATTTCTTTTCTCTCTACTCTTTGTTACATATGGTATGAGAATTTTTCATGCAAGTAATATATAAGTTTTCAAATGCGAAAAATACTTTATTAATGTTTTCATGCAGTTTTATTACTTTAGACTCATAATCTAATAATCATACAAAAATGTACTGAACTAGAAATATTTGCCATTTTTAATTCAAGCAAATAATGTTACAAGATGTACATTATTTGTACTAATACGGAAGCCTTCCACTGTTTTCTAGAATACAAATTCTCTACGATTCTGTGAATAAAATCTTCTTTTTTGGAAACATTTATATTTATCAGTAAATTTGACGATACTTTGCATAGCAGTGTTCGTTATTTAATTTATTAGATTCTGGAATATTTTTGTAAACTGATATTTTATTAATCTATTAGCAGAAACCTTTTTCTAAACAAACATTTCATTTCTACTTACGTAGAGATGCAAACATTTTCTCTTTAGCTTGCGTACGATTCATAAACATGTTCTCAAAATTTAAAATTAAATATATTGGTCAATTTTTTTTTATCGGAAGAGAGTTAAATGCTTTGTATTTTCTTTTTATCATGAGTATACACTTTTACTAAACTTCATTAGAAACCGAGAACCTTATAAAAAATTAGATTTCTTAATTTTTAGTTCAAAACTGATTATTTTAAGCTTATAAATGCCATAACAGAGATATATGGGCCATTTAAAATATTTCTGTGATTAGAAATACATCTGACTTGTCTGACAGTGACAAGCCTATGAAATTCATCGTGGCAAGGAGCGCAAGATTGCACCTGTTGTTGGAAGAAGACTTGAGTACGTTACTATGGTTGCAAAAATAAAAGCCACATAAGGACAAATTAAGCTAAAATATGTATTGTTTTGCCTCAGTCGGAAAAGACAAATCAGAATTCCTTTCTGAAATTTAGCACTTTTTAATTTATTTACTTTGAAGGAAATTTTAAGATTATTTCACTTCATAAAATGTCTCTATGTAAACTATTACAATCTATGCAAAGCATCATAATCATACTTGTTATTTTACCGCGATTATTTATGATATTATTTTAAAGTAAAAAATATAAATTCTCTTTCTAATATGAATAATATGTTTTTTGTGGATATATTTATTTATTTTGCGTGACATTTAGGCAATTTCTTCACCAGAAGCTACATTTCAGTAAATGCAGTTCAGTAGTAGAGATAACAACAAAATTTTCCTGATTTCTCTCTTTTCGTTTCCCTTATTTATACAAATAAACTTAAAAGCGTTCAGGTTTACACTCGATGTTATCGTAATATGAAGTTTGCAAAAGTAGTTTTAGCATTCTCAGATTTAAAACTAGCTTCTAACAAAGTTTACTTAAAGGGGAAAACATAAATAACAATTCGTTGCAGTTACGACCATTAGATTTTCAGAAACTTAGTTCAAAATATGTTGTAGACAGCATTAAGCACTTGAAGTACCGTCATCCAAAGCTATTGCTGCTTTTCTTGTAATCAGCCTCTTCGTATGTTTGATGTAAATTTTCAGATCTATTCAATTTCTGTTAATTTGCGTTGTAATAGACTTTAATTTTTCATTAGGCAGACTCTATTAAATTCCTTCGCTCTAAGTCATCCAAGTATATCTTCCAAAACAATCGGATTACATGGAATATTTGCAGAGAAACGCCACTACCTAACGACTAAGAAAATACATCTTTCAGTTTTAAAATATCACCAACATACAGTTTTAATATAGCTTCTCTACGTATCAGCAATCAATTACTTGTGTTATTTGCAGATTGATGCAATAAAAACATTTTTGCACTAAAGAAAAATAAAAACAAATATTTATTTTCATTAAAGATAAAAGCTAAAGGTAATAAAATTCATAAAACATGCAGTTAATGAGATGCATTAAACTATTATATGCATTACAATTTCCTAACAAATTGCAGAAGTAAATTTACATTTCTGAAGAATATTAGACAAGTCGGATTTAATATCTAATTACATTTCGTTTTTTAAACGTTCCTTATTGCTATGACCGTAAGGAACTAAATCCGCTGAAAATAATCGTTGTTAACAAAACATAGGTACAATCAATTCTGCCACTGCCATAACACTTGTTCAACGACAATACTAGCAATACAAAGAGAAACGTCATCGATCCTTTCTTCCAACTGTTACAAATTATTAATCTTAATGCCAAAAACCAAGGCATTTTAAAGTTATTATTACGTACGAAATATTGGGATAACAAACTTTGTAGAACAATTTTGCTACTATTTTTACTATTAAAAGAAAGATGTGCATATTTTTATCCACCAAAAGTTGCAGATTGTACATTTTCTACCAACCAGTTGTCAGTATCCAAACTTATGTCATCGAGAACAACCAAAACCAGTTTATTGACATCTGGCGTCTATGTAGAAATATGTATTCAGGTGCCAGCTGCCCCAAATCATATAGTATGATCATAGTTAACGTGATCCTACAATCTATGGAATAATAATCTAAATATCGTGGAGCTCACTTGACACTACTTCGGCGATTCGTCTATGTTCTGGAAACTGATTAATCACTCTGAGACCTGATTTATAAATCACTATGTTGCTTTGATGTTAAATCTTGCATATCATCATAGCCTGTGATTTATCACAGCAGATATTCAAAATATTAACTAACAAACTTTTGACTAAAAAAATGACATAGTAAATTCTTAAAAAATGCCACAAAATTGTTTGAGAAACACTGCTCTATAATACATACAAACTAATTTAGCCTTATATTTTATGATGCACAACAATACCTATATTTTTAAGAAACACAGATAAGAAATCATTTAAACATGATACCTACTGCGTCAGATTAACGCTTTCGGTTTTCTATTTATTTTTAAAGGCTCAGGCAGGAAGTTACACACGTCTGAAGAGCCAAATGCCAAATCCTGGAGGAGCTATTGTTATCGCTCACCAAAGTGGAGCCAGTCGTTAATCCATTCAAGTTATAGATGGAACTTTTTTACATTTCCCTCGTACCTGATAGCTTCCAATTAATTTGTTGGAGATTAAAAGCACGATAATTCATGGGAAAATGATGATTATCTATTATAAGCAAATAAGGCACTGATATATTCTTGCCTAAACAGCAAAAGTTTCTTCCAAGTAGGTATTAAATGTTACTCCCCGCCCCCCAAAGGAAATCAATTACTTTTTTAATCAAATGCTTTAAATGTGACATTTACGAAAAGCTAAGCAATTTCGCTACAGTTCTGAAGCGAACCAAGGGGCATGGGATTCGGCTCTACAGCTACAAGGCCATGAGAAGCTTCAAGTTGCCTTGTTTCTTGAAGGAACTTCTAATATTCATTGATCAAAAGCTGGGGCCAAACCTGAACAATAACTAGTTTCAGAAATGTACAGGGGAAGATGCCGCCGTATTACAAAAGCCACCAGCGGCTCCATTTAAAATAATAAACAGAAAGATATGATTAATTTAGTATGGTTTCATACTAAATTATTACATAATTAATTCTCTAAAGTTACCAAAATCAATTCAGTCTTAGAGACAAAAGATTAGACACATTAAAAAGAGTGTGAGGGCATAAAGGGAAAATTTAATAGTTAAACTATTGCTAAAATTTATCATTTTTTAAAGCCATATATGATTAATCTCAAGCTGTCTTTGCTATCTTCACAGTTTTGCATTTGTAAATACAAATTATTTAAAGACATATATGAAGTGATTTGCCTTTTCAAAGCCCATATGCAAGTATAAATATGTTGTATATTTCATGTAGTCTCGCTGATATTTGTAAAATTGTTACATTTTGTGGTACTTGTTATTATTACATTCTGAATGTAACTGATCTCTTTTCATAAAATTTCTATACTAATATATTACTATAGCCTTTTTATTTGTATAATCCTTGAAAATTCAAGTTTATCGGCATTATTGAAAACTGAGCATCGTGCTTCACATAACTAGTGGGTATGCTATTTAAAAAATCACGAAAGAAGAGTGTAATGTAAATTTATATTCTTATTTCATAATGATGAATCAAGTTTCTAGTTCAATATCACAAACTTTATTTGGCAATATATTTGACAGCTGAAATGTTGATTCAGATCATGTTTCGGGATAAAAACATTTTTGCAAATCATGCACATTAGAAAAATATACTGCTTGTGAAGGTAATGAAGTTAATTATTAAAAACAAACTATACTTTTTAATACTGATTTAATAGTTTTCGCTGAACACAATTTTTCGATTCATAAATAAATTTAGATACGAACATCCAAATTTTTAAATGTAAAATCCCATAAAATGAATTCTAAAAATCTTATAGTAATTTTTTTTTTTAATCATCTCATGACACTGAAATATTTACTGAATCATGGGTATTTATTTGTATGTTAAGATCAAACTTTAATTTTTAATTGGCCCCAAAATATTAATTTACTGGCCTTTGAAATTTTCTTGAGAGATAAAATAATTTTATCTCCTGATGCTTTCTTCGCTGTCGAATCCTGCTATAATGAACTTTGAGACCGAAACTGGTTCGCAATATCCGATCTGATAAGGAAAATGGATTAACTCACAGAAAACTGTAAAAATAACTTAATAAATGATTAACATTGTCCCAGTAGCTAAAAGAACCTAACAGGAAATTAAATTAAATAAAATTATATTTAAGTTTCATTACAATTACTAAATTTGCTGTTTGTTAGTTTCTAATTTCACTATATGTTGATAATTTTGCTGGTAAATTATTTAGCATATTAGTCTTTCCTCGAATTATATATTTTCCTCTAAAATGTACATTTCCAAGTTCAAGAATAATTTTCAGTTTTCTGCTGGTGTGATGCGAAATGCAGTACCTTTTTATCTACAAAAGTTGAAAAGTTTCTACCATTTCTGATTTTGCTCTTTGTGTGCACAAAAATTTACTAATGACTACTACACATGACACTGGTTGTAAACTCATTTGCTTCCCAGACTCTTAACAGATTTCTTTTCTTGGATAATTACACCTTCACGAACAGATTTCAACCAAAGCTAAATTACTTCTTCTATGTGATTAAAATCTGAATGCTCTATTTCTTTGTGTCAATAAACTGCATATATGAGCATTTTGAAGTGATTTTTAGGCCAAAGGACATTATCCCAGAAGGGCTATTAATTTCAAAACAGCATTTTGCATCGATTCACTTTTCAAATTGTTGCCACCAAATATTATCGCTATGTATTATATTAAAAGAAACTAAATAATGAAGAATCTGCATAAATGCATGAATGTTTCTCATCAGTAGCTAGAGCCATTAAAATTTGGATAACTAGACCTCCAACTGAACATGCGCACTTCGAAGCACAAATTTTTAATTTGGTTTATTATCTATTTAAAATTTTGTAAAACTCAAATAAATTTTTGATTAACAAACTTAACGATTTCAAAGTGGTGAGAAACGGCAACACTGCACAAGGGAAAAAAAAAAAAAAAAAAATTATCGCCAGCGCATGAGACTGTATACCCAAAATTCTAAAGATATGCTGTTTTTAAATATTTTGTGATATTACTGTTGAATTGAATTTTATGTGTTTTAAAAACGAATTTTATATTTTATCAACAAAGGTAACACACAAAACTTTAAAAAATGCCCTTTTGGGCATAATATAAAATGTGAAGGCTTTCTGATTTTTTTTAAATTTTTAGTCCAAAGGGGCAATTTGCCCAGGTCTATTAATTTCTTTTCGGCATTTTGCGTTGGTCACTATAAATGTTGGTTCACTTTTCAAATTATTGCCATCAAATATTACTGCCCTGTATTATATTTAAAGAAATTAAATAATGAAGAATCTGCATAAACATATATATGTTTCTTGCATTGTGATAAAACAAAGGTACACTGCTCAAAAAAAAAAAAAAAAAAAAAAAAAAAAAGGGACAGTCCTATAATCTCCGATCTACTGGGCCGATTGACAAAATTCAAATTGCGTTCTTCATGTCTCGAAAGCGCGACTTAGGATATATATTAGATTTTATATATAGCACTATTCTAACATAGGTATTTTGACATAAATCGGACTTTTTCTGAAATAACATACCAAATTTTTTACATATTTGGATTCTACGACTCAAATACGCCTAAATATGAAATTTTGTAATTCTGGAGTTGAAATTTACGGAGAAATTCACAAATTTATGTTGGCACTTTTTTGTCAGTTTGCGCCAAGAATAGTTCACTTGGCGAACTTCTTAATATATGGCAACCTAGTTTCCTTTCCCGTGAGAGGAAAAAAAGTCACCATCGTTCCTTTTTTCCAAATAATATTCTTTATATTATATTTTAATTATAACTTATTATTTTAAGTAATTTTTTCTTTTTCGAATTCCATTTTAATTGTTTAAGTTGCATGTTTTTTCGATAACTGTTTTTTAAATTTTCTATTTACCTATTCGAACTGCGTTAAATAAAGGTGCAGCGTTTATTTTTTTTTCAAATAGTTTTCTTTAATATATTTTTTGTCATAGTTATTATTTTAGGAATTTTTAAATTTTTATACTTTTATTTTAATTGTTTGTGTTTGCATTGTCTCTTCAGATAATTGTTTTAAAATTTTCTATTTATTCCTTCGAATTGAGCATTTTTAATATATTTATTATTATAAATTTTCAGAATTTGATTTTATTTATTTGAATTGCGTTTCTTTCGGAGGAATACTTTGTAACCCGGACTACGATGCGTTTGAAAACTGCATATATTAAAAGAGAAAATACACTAAAGCACAGTTAACACGCTTTTCAATGTTCCGTTCAGAAAAGATATATATAAATAAGAGAGATGTATAACCGACATTTTAACTTAGGGATGACTTGCATACACTGCTTTAAACAGTTTTATCATTGTGCCCCCATTGCTTTACACAATTTTATCCTACATTTGGCTTCTTAAATGTTATTCATATTTAGTCAAATATTTATTTTTGAAATCAGAAGAATCAAATATCATAAGATTAAAAAGTTTTAAATTAAAAAAAAAAATACAAATAGTAAATTTTATCCAAAAAAATTATTTTTTCTTCTCTTTTTCTTCAGGCATTCTACTTTATTCTTGCTCTTTTTCTTTAGGCATTCCGCAACTATATTAAAAAGCATCCAAATTTTCGAAATATCTTGATATTTTTGATAATCATTTTAAATAAAGTTATCGCCTTCCATTTCATAAAGGCCCACAAATGGCCGAGCGGTAAAGTCGCTGAACACTGGTAGTTCACTCCGGTGTTCGAATCCCGGTAAACGGGCTGGTTGCATGGGCGTTTTCGTGTATTTTCTCATGTGTACCGTGTATGCCAGCTGGTTTCCCTTAGAAAGTTCTTCACAAAGGCATCCTTCCTTTTAGGCAGATAGCCCTGCTTTGACGTAACTTAATAATCCAATTCAATCCATTTCATCAATATTTGGTCAGAGCCTTTGTCTTTAGAGGCTAAACATTTTGAAGATATGAGATGAAAGGAAAGACTGGTTTCATAAAGAGGTTTTGGTTTATTTAATTATGACAAAGCACACTAGGGCTATCTGCCTAAGGGGAGGGATGCCTTCGTGGGTCACTTTCTAAAGGAAACTGGCTCGCATACACGTTACACATGGGGAAAACCACGAAAATGCCCATACAGCCAGCCCGTTCGCGGGATTCGGACCTCGGACAGAACTACAGCGTTCAGCGACTTTACGCTCAGCGCTGTTTCATCAGGAGGAAAAGGAAAAAAAAAAAAAAACATCTTTAGGTGACATCCACATACATCACTGTATAAACTCCTGAATCTTCAAATAATTCGACTGAGAAAATCATGGGATTCTCCAATTTATGATACGATATGATGTTCTATAACATAATTTTAATTTATACAACCATATAGTTCTAAAACCAGTCGCTCTTCAATTTAATCTGCAATGATATCGTCTTTGTCTTTTCTGTTAACACAAGTTCAGTTGGATGGTATTTGCTGGTGTACACGTCTAAGTGTTTTCTCTTTAAACACCTAAATTCTTTGAAGTATCCTGAAAGGTATATTCAAAAGCGTCCGAACTTTTTGAAAGATCTTGGTATGTCTGACAGCCTAAATTTCCCTGCAAATTTTTGCTTGCTTTTTCCCCTAACTTTTCTTCTTTCCTTCTACAGTTATTTCAGTGCACACACAAGAAAATTAAGATTTTTCAATTGCTAGACTTCCATAAATTTTGCATTCTTGTCAATTTTTAAAAATATCAATTACATGAATTGCGTTTCAGCTGAAGACAGCTTTTCATTTTCTAGTCATTTTAACTAATGTATTAAGAAGCTAATTTTTCTCTCGTGTTATAGATTGTATAAAAAAACATGATCTTTAATATGATTTAAATTGTTTCAGCCGATATAAGAATCGGGTTACTCGGTGGTACAGAATAAACCCTGCTGGACTGTTTTATTTCTTTGTCATTTAGCAAAAATCTTTTAATTAAAATATTTATCCTTTGGACTTCGCTGTTTTTTTATACAATCTATAACGCGAGAGAAAAATTAGCTTCTTAAAACATTCTTTCTAAGAGGATTAATATAAAAGATTATATTTATATATATATATTTAAAGCTGGGACTTGAACCAAACTGTTAAATTTTTAAAGTTTAATTTACATGGTGGTTATAATTAAAGTTCCAATTTGAAATGGCCATAAAAGGAAAATTACCGTACCAAATGTTATCAAACTTGGGAATCGTGTAAAGGAGGTTATGGGAATTTATTTTCCGCGGAAAATAAAAAAGAGTTCAAAAACTCACCACCAGGGGAAAAATGGAGCTGATTTTTCTCTTTTTGATTTACAAGATTAATAAATGAAATAAGACATGAAGACATCTGT